CGGTGGGCGAGCAAGCAGGCCAGACATCGGGGCAAAGTCCTTGGAAGGCACCAAGGCATGATAAGGGGAACAGGCTCTTTTCACCCCTCAGTCAGGGAACACCTGTCAGAAACCCAGAGCTGAGAAGGTCACAGAGAGCAAGGAAGTCTCCTAAATACTTAGAGGATTACATAACATTGCTGGCTAAACAAAAGCCAGATAACGATAGGAGCACTGAGAAGCAGAACACTGCATAAAATAAATGTTTATATGTTGGTAGTAGTTTTAGCCCGGGGGAAAGGGGTGTTATGTCCCGAGCCTTGCAAACGGCTCGGGCATTTGCAGGCAGTCCCGGGCAGGTGCAAAGCTGCCCGGGACCAGACAGGCTGTCGCCAGCGCCGTGCGCATGCGCGGGTGCTGGCACGGGAAAAGTATCGCATTGACCCGGGAAATGCCTATATAAGAAGCTGGGAGGTTTTGGGAGCTGCTGAAGCCATCTACTTGTAAGCTGAACACAGAATAAAGAAAACTGAGAACTACAACTGCTTCTCGTGTCTTGCCTTCCGCGAGGGACTCAACAATAACAGTGTTCCCCTCCACCCTAGGATGACACCATAATTAATGGAATTGAAAACTATTTAGAAATCATGGAGGGCACACTCCCCACACATCTGTAAATGTGATCGATGCTATCTTAATAATGTAATCTAATCGATGCTATCTTAATAATGTAACCCAATAATGTAACCCAATCTGAAACCCAGCAGAAATATTTCTAGATAATCTGCTTCTTTCGGGAATTTTTGGGGCTGTAAGCCTACTATCTTCTCAACAAGCTTCTCCAAGAAGAAGAAAAATAGAGACTGGATGAAAATTGCCAAAGTTAGTTGGATCCAGTGATGATCTTTTGAGATGAGGGAGCATCCTCACTTCTTTCAAATCAGAGACCTGTTCATCACTATCTGTTTTCAACCATATGTTATCTCCAAGAGACCTTGACCACTCAGGTGCAGCCTGGATCTAAGACACAAGATGCAGAACATAGAGCCCAAGGACCCTTTATCAAGACTAATAGGCTTGAATTCTTTCCAGATAATCAAACAAGATAGGATCTGCACAACAAGAATCCAACTCCATGAGGATCCAAGCAACATAAAAAAGTTCCCACGGGGGTTTGCAAGGGTTTCAACAGCCTGCAGTATCTAGAAGAGATTGAATGATCCAAAACAAAGCCACTAGCTGACTATCCTTGAGTGTAACAAGAGCAGAAAAATAAGTAGATGCAGTCACAGTTATCACAGTGCAGCCCTTCATAAATTCTTGCTAGTTTTCCTCAGCATCTTTCTTGGCATGTTTTGTGCCATTTTATCTCTTGAAGTTTCTCTGGAAATGAGGGGGGCCTCTGGGATCCACAAAGACAATCTGCACAAATGATTTTATATGACTAAGAGCCTAGTTGCATGCTCATTCGAAGCAGCAACAGGCTTTGCTAAACTATGCCACAATTTCAAAAATATCCCAGATTCTCTCTGAAACCCTTGATTTGTGGCTGCACCTTGCTGACCCTAGAGGTGAACAAACAAATAAACAAGTTCTAATGTGCTTAATATTGGAATGGGAAATTGATCAAAAACGTGGGTTACAGGCTAGAGAGTGAAAAAAAAAAACATTCCAGAAAGAGGCAAAGGCATACAACTCTATATTACTGCCAAGAAAACTATACGGGTATCTCTATGTAGTCCCTAGCAATTGTATGACATTCAGATGAATTTACTTTTTAAGTGTTCCTGTAACAGAGCAATTTTATCGTTATGTGGAAATGGGTCAGGCTAAATTAAATTTCCCAAATGACCCTTGCTTGGTCCTCCCACAATATATTAAGCTTTCCTCCCATCTAATTAAAAGTATTGTGGTAAAAGAGTCAGCATGTCATGCAAACGCAGCCCTCACAGGAGGTCAGTCTGTGGCTGCTTTTCCACTTATATAATTTTCTTTTTTTTAATGAAACCGAGTTGAAAACTACAAGTTACTGTCACTGTCACCTTCTATTCTAAAACATTCTTATCACCAAAAGAAAATAAATTATATTCTGGCCAAAATTATATTCTACCTTCTGTTTTTATTTCACAAGGTAACTGTAATTAGCTTATCTTGTCATTATCATGAAGTTTTGAATTTGGTTTTTATTTTACCCAAATATTTGCAAATTGAGTTAGCTTGGATTCAAGAGTACCTTTAAAATTGACAAACAATCATTATATAGTTCGAAATTACAACAGCACTGAAAAAAGTGACTAATGATTGTTTTTCACAAGACTGTTGCAGCATCCTCATTTGGCTCACATTTATGATGGTTGCGGTATCCTAGGTCAGTGTTTCCCAAACTTGACAATTTTAAGGCATGAGGACTTCAACTCCCAGAATTCCACAGCCAGCAACGCTGGCTGTGGAATTCTGGGAGTTGAAGTCCTCATGCCTTAAAATTGTCAAGTTTGGGAAACACTGTCCTAGGTCATGTGATCACCTTTTGCGATCTTCTGACAAGCAAAGTCAGTGGGCAAGCCAGATTTACCTAACAGTGTTATGATTTAACAACTATAGTGATTCATATAACTGTGGCAAGAAAGATCATAAAATGTGGCAAAAATAACAACTGTCTTGCTTAGTAATAAAAATTTTCTCCTCAGTTGTAGTCATAAGTCGAGGACTACCTGTATTTTGAAGTAATCTGAGCTGTACCTGTAGTTTATACCTGCATCGCTTAGCTCAGATTACTTCAAAATAATCCTAAAACAGGTGAGACGACCAATATTGGAAACCTATGCAAAATTCCAGGGATGAATATGCCAGCTGTGTTTCTTTTAAGAATGCATTAGCACTGAAATGGAATTTTCCCACACTCTTTACTATGGAGTAAATCTTAGTTAACAAGCTGATGCAACTGCTATGCATCTGAAAACTCTACCCTTGCTAAAAGATGACTCTGCATCTGCAAGGTCTCTCCCAAAATGAAGTCATTATGCTAATGTTTATCTTATCTTTGAATTAAAATCAATAAGCTAAGTGCATGAATGGAGTAACAAAGGAAAGGAAGTTAATAGATCAGAGAAAGATTTTTGCTAAGAAGATCACATTTCATCCTGTTTATGTATTGATTCCTTGCTTAGCTAGCTTTTTAAAATTTCTAATTTTTTTTTAATGTTTTAATTGTTTTATATTGCCGGCTTATGATGTTGTAAACTGCCTATAGCTGCTCATCTATGAGATGGAGAGCATATGAATTTAATAAATAAAATAATACAGAATATGAAGGTGTGCATATATTTTCATATCTATGTATATTTATATAGGGTTATAAATGGTACCCAAGAACAAGAAAATAATTAGGCAGTTAGTAAAAAACGGTAATTGGGGATTTCCCCCCAAAAGAGCAACATTTTAAAAAATGTGGAAGCTATTATGATATTCAATCATCATATGGGAGATGCAAGTTAACATTTCAAGAAATGTTCTGAGGCAAATTTCCCAGGATGGAATACATGAAATTTCCAAAAATATATGAACAACATCTGAAACCTTTAGAGAGTTAAAGCCAGACTTGATGTCTTAAGAAAATAATACAAAACTCTTAAAAATGTGATCACTATTATAAAGCAGGCCAGAAATGAGAACACTGACATGTCTCCAAACCAAAACAACTAATGACAAGGAAAAAGTCTGAAACTATCATAGATTTTAAAGTTTTCTACATAATGCTTATCCGCAAATATCAAACATAAAATAAAAATAACACTAACAGTAGATAGAAAGTATCATTATTTTAATTAGCTGGAAATCCTGAATTGTGTGTGTTTATCCCAGATTTAGGATCTTCCATTGTTATAATTTATAGCCTTCCAAGATACAGTTAGCTTTTGACAGCACATGTCGCCCTTTCATCTTATTCTGTGTTGAAAGGTTGTTGGTTACTCTTTAATAGAGTAGGGTTAAGAGAACTAGTGTTAACAAATATGATTATTATTATAAAATTTGTAATTTAAAACCCTGTTAAATTTTAATTAACAAAATAATTTGTTGGGCTAACATACTGTGTATTAAAATGATTTCTTAAAATAATTTATTAAACAAACCACAACTGGCTGGGTTCAGGCAGCACTCTACATCAAAAACCTTTTGGCTTTAACAAACTGTATGTACCACACCAGGATGTGCAGTAGAAAGGCAGACTTGGAATACAAGTCTACTTTCTTTAAAAGAGCTTTGGCAGTTTGACATTGTTTCATCAGTTGTTGGTGTTTCCAACTGTAATGTTTTTGTGCCAGATCCAGTGGATTCAGCTGTTATTTTTTCTGTGTTCCTGTTTATAAGACAATTGTGTTTTTAACTTGTACTTGGGATTATTTGTCTTTAGGAAAGGGCAGCCTAATTAATGTCATAGGCTGCTTCCAATCCTGTCTAAACAAGAGTGTCATTCCCCTTCTTGAAATGTAGCAATAGATAAAATATTCTAAGTGAATATAAACAAATGCAATGGCAAATTCAGACTTGTCAATTTTTAAATATTCATAAGGCAACCTAACTAGTTTCCCCTCAAACTAGAACGGAAAATACCTCATCCAGACTATAATTCGCTTAGAAAGGAATATGGCATCTAGAATATTATTTGCACCCTAAGCTTAAGCAACCTTTAAATTTTCTTTCAACTTTCAGTTATGGATAGTTGCTTTTATATCCTGCCTGAGGCTCTTCCACAACAGCAGCTGTAGTTTGCAGGAAGCAGGAAAATTGGATAGTCCAAGATGGCTATTTCTTAGGTTCAGAAGACAAGCATTGGCACCCTTCTCTTGGACATCTCGTATCTAGTTTCACAATAAGCTTAAATGCTGAAGGTAAATTGGTCAATTTGTCACTTAATTGTATTTATAATTCCAAGGTATTTTATGATTAATCTTTCCACCGTGGTTCTCAAGTGGAATCCCAATCAAAATACTAAGCAAAATCACAGTAGAAGAATGGAAACATATAGCACAAATCCCATAAATGGGAACTTTATTAAACTAGCAAGATAAACTCAGAAATGTATAAATGGTCCATTAAATACATCCAGTTCATTTTTACATATACTTTTATATAGAAATTTACTTACAGTTTCCAAACATGTAACATTTAAATTATTTTGTCTTTTCAAGATCACTACCATCAAAAGGTAATAAAAATCCACCACCTGCTTTTGCAGATGAGTATAAAATGATGTAGATAGAGCATTTTACTTATGGAGGAAGGAGAACTCAAGAACCTGCTAAAACCAAAAGTAATGATACCATCCCAAGAGCATTTACCATAAGAAAGCTTGGCCAGCCATTCTACTGAAGTGGTGGCTCAACTATACACTTGATGGCATTTTGGCAAACAAGCTGGGTAGAGAAAAATAATTCAGTCACAGAAAAACACAATATCATGAGCTGAAACTGTAAAATTATTCAGTTCATTCGTTCAATGTCTGTTGTCAGCCTGGGCAAATTCCACAGGACCTGATGTACATATAGAACAAAGAGTGGGAATGTCGAAAACATGGCTTGATAACTAACATTATTTGCCCCTATATTAATATCATTATTTGCTTTTTAACAATATTTCATCAATGAATAAAATGGCAGCTGTTTAAATCAGGGGTCTTCAAACTTGGCCCTTTTATGACTTGTGGACTTCAACTCCCAGAATTCCTTAGCCAGTATGTTTGAAGACCCCTGGTTTAAATGAAGAGGCTGAATAGCCACTTTCCCTATAAAACTCACTGCCCAATATTTATTTGGAAAGAGACCAAGGAGAATGCAAAATATACATTAACAGGTTTTTCCTCATTCTCTGTATCTTAGCCTGACCTGATATCTCATGCAGCGAACTATTTATCTAACACTAACATACTAACACACACACACACACACACACACACACACACACACGTCTATAAGTGAAGTTTAAAAAGGAGTGTTAAAACCAACACTTGAGGCAAAAGAGCCTTTTGCCATACTTGAAGAAAATTTGCACATTTCAAGCCTACTTGTTTTTTAAAAGAAAGTGGTATCAGGAAAACGGAAGGTTTTTCCTAACTGGAGCAGCAATTCAAGTAAGTGGCATAATTAAAAATAAATGGAAACCAGAATTGATAGGAAAAATGCTCTGCAAAAGGTTGCATCCCTTGCAGATTTCAAGCTGCAGCATTTGTGATAGGTATCACAAACATGGCACTTATGTATACCTAAAGCTGGCAAGTTTGCACATGACTGAGACAAGCCAAATCAACCATAAACATTTTTTTCTAACCACGGTACTGCTTGTGGTTTCTGAGAGCCATGGCTTCCAGCTAACCCAACTAATTCCAACACCAATCATTCCTTTTAGAATTCTACAGTATTTCTACATGCAATGCAGCTCTGTTACACTCACGGAGAATAAAAATTCTGCCCAGCAGACGTTTCCCTCCTTCTAAAAGACACACATATAACTGAAGACATGCTGTATATTCTTTAGATGAGGTTACGGTCACACCCCTTCCAAAGCCAGCAGGGTTCCATTTTTATAATTTAGTAGGCCAGAAATTCCATGTGTCCAATTGCCAGCAATGGACTCTGCAACAGACACAGTTATTCTTGAACCCAAGTGTTTAAAATGATCTATGTGTATTTTTCATACTTTTTGCAAAAAAAAAAAAAAAAAAAAGTTCAGGACTGCATTCTCAGAAAAGCAGTGACAATACAACAACTGGCCGTAATTCCTAATTCTGAATTCCTTTCCTTTCATTGCATAAAAGCATTTGTTAACACAATCTTCCCCAACTTTGCAATATTTTTTTACATGTAATTAACTTTAGTTCATCTCATCTCAAGCCAGCCAACTTGGAGTTGAGGTCTTGTCTGGCAGAACACTAAGTTGAGGAAATCAGTTTTAGCATGCAAAATTCCTGAAGAGGTACTATCTCCCCAAGACAAGGGATCTTAGTTACAGCTATTCCATCACAGTAGTTTTGAAATACATTCAATTCAGGCATCCCTCAGATTTGCATAAGGTACCTTAGTTTCTATTGAATAACAAAATACAGCATTACTGTTTAGAATCTTTCATAACAAAAATAGTCAGCAATGAGAAACCTGGTTTTCACATTCTATATTGCCAAATGATACAAATGCATTTATGTTTTAGAAGTGATTCAATAGTTTCCCAATTGTACTTTGACTCCCATCTTTGCATTTAAGGGATCCTGATTTTTCCGTTATTATTTGTTCCCTCAGCACAGACTCTGCTTTAACACTTAGAAGCTCACTGTTGTCAGTGTTTCTTTTGATAATTTTAGCACTGTTGGCTCTTTTCAGTGTGCTTCCACCATTTTCCTTTGGATTGGAATCATCAGAGGCTGCTGTTACTTTCATTCGAGGTAGTCTTTGAGACAAAGACCTTGTGAGAGGTGGGGCTCTAGAAGGGGAGGGCAAATCCACCTTTGCACATTTTGAAGAAGAGGCCACTGTATTTCTTGCAAAACTCGGAACAGGAGCAGGTGCCTTGGGAGCTATGACAGATGTGCTTTTGTTAGCATCTACAGGGCCCTGAGATTTGGTCAAGGAGCGGCACATTTTTGTTTCATCATTTTTTGACTTGGGAACATATCTGACTGGTTTGCAGCTTGGCTTTTTGAAAGAGCCTTTATGCTGAAGCGGCTCCTTCTCAAAATAGCCACTGCTTGAATTTGAGGTTCCATGCTGAAATTTTGGCTCTTCTACCGATATACTCTGCCGATATTGAGGTTTTGGCGCTGCGTCTATAATACCCCGGACGGAATTACGACGTGACAGACGTGTTTCAACTACAGCCGTGTCTCGAGATGCAGGCTTAGTCTCTGGTTTTTTGGGGCAACTAGGAGATGCTGGTTTAGTGGACCTAGAAATGGGTACAACTTTTCTCATGCTTGCATTCTCTGATGAATTCAGAGTTCTCACGGGTCTGGGATGATTTGGAGAGGCAGTGCTGGATTTTGTGTTACCTGAAGTTTTGTCTTTCAAAGAATTTCTCTTTGGTCCCAATGCATCTTTGCTCCTTACCGATTTTTCCTTTGGAAAACTAGGCTTATTGCTACAGTCAGATTTATCATTAGAAAAGATGGCATTGTCACCAGTTTGCAGATCATTCATATAAGAGGAGTTAGCACCATTTTTGTTATCTATTTTATTGCCACCTGGCTTTGGACTGCTTTCTTCTGAGAGATCAAGTGTCAATGAACATTCAAAATCTGATTCAAAGAAAACTGGTCCTTGAGTTTTAGTTCCTGAAATACTACCATCTGAAGATATGGGGCTATCATTACCAGGTTCCAGAGCTTCATTAACATAACTCATCATTTTGGCAGAATGTTCAGTTTTATAATTAGTATTTTCTCTATTGGATGGATTTCCTGTTATGCCAGGAGAGTGTAAGGCTCGATCATCCTGAGCATCTAAACCTTGCATTCCAGCCACAAAATGAATTGGAGATGAATCCTCTATATAATTTGTTTCATGCGAGTCAAACTTACACAGTCCAGAAATGTGTTCATGTTCTTCCATAGAAGGGTCCCAAGAAACTGCATCACTGGATTCCATACAAGGCACATTGAACCTATACTTCTCATCATTTGACCTCTCTTGATTGCTATAGAGGTTATCATGGGAAGTATCTTCTACATGTTGAGCCTGAGATGGTAAAAACTGGTAACTGTACTCCTTGTGTTTGGAACCTTGGTCTAAATGCAAACGAGTGAAGCTGACATCCACAGGCTCCTTACTTTGTGACCATGCTACATTTGGTCTTGTTGGGCAAGGATGTTCATGAGGGAGACTGTTAAACTTGTTCGGATCTTCCCCTTTTGAGGTACCCAGGAAAGTAAAGAGTTCTCTTTCTGCAGTCACGCCCAAGGAATGTCGAGAACGTCTTGTGCTGGTATTTCTGTATGAAGGACTTTGGGGTCTTTGTTGCAAAAAGGGTAAGAATTCTTCAAGTCCTCGCTTTGTTAGTGTACCAACATCATTTTCACTACTGCTCCTGCCAAAAGCACTGATATCCCCAACAACCCACGACCGGCGTTTGTCCTCCAGCTCTTTAAGTCGCTGTAGTTGCTGAAGTTGTTGAGCCTCTCTTTCTTTGTTTTCCTGTTCAGAAAATACATATTTATAATCATGGAATTAAATACTTATTTACATTAAATTTGCCTTTATATTAATCCTCCTTACCTGTCCCCCATCTATATTTTTAAACAAAGTAGTACTATAATAATTTTCTATCAGAATATAAAATGGAATAGTAAATATTTTGTTGATGTCTCATTGCAAATACTTAGGCCTAACTGCAAGTGGGTTATTATATGCTCCTCAAATTTTATTCCATTACGCTCAAACATTCTTTAAATAATAAAGTCAGTCATAATATTGCCCAAAATTCTAAAGTTGTCATTCAATATATTAGGAAAACATAAGCAAACCATTCAAAGGAAACAGTAAAATTCATGTCCAGATTTGAATATTTCTATGAATGTGAATGCATTTTAAGTACAAGGTAGGATAATAACCCATACCTCAGTATATTTAGCATTTTCCCCATATTGTTTTCTTTTATAAAGCATTTAAATGCTTTTAATGTTATAAATCTTGCTTTTTTAAAAAAATTGAGTTTTCTGTAATGAAAACCATCATTGCAATAATTTACATTTCACACAAACCAGATCGGAAAGAATTGGTAATTTTCATGTATGTGCAGGTTTAGTAGTGGTCATCTGGGCATCCACACATGTGATTACATATTTGCACATTTAAAATCTTCTAGAGTTTATAAAAACATCTGAATATATCTGTGGCATCAGATACAGAAAAGGGGCATATTTTGTGCTATCTTGGTTGTTTTTGTACTGGACTGCTACAGAGCTGTCTGATATAACCTACACAGTTGGTTGTAGAGGACAAAAGGTCCTTGAAGGACAGGAAGAAGGCCTAATCAATGAAAAGCTGAGATAAATAGGGTATAAGCCTCCTTCTCCAAGACACCTTGAGAAAATATTTCAGACAAGCCCTTTACATGAAGGAAAACTGAGGTAGCAGGTTCATCAGTGCAGTCAGTTAGAAGAGGTACATTTAATTGTAAGCTGCTCAGAGTTATTAGGACTTGGGCAGCCCAAAAATATATTTATATTATTCCTGCAGTGCTGACAGGACCCTAAGGCTAAAGGCTGAATAGCCACAACCAATCTTCCTTCATAGCATGAAAGTTCATGAGAAACAATGAAACAAAGTAAATGAAATAAAATTATAATTTAAACAAACTTGATGGAACAAGGAGCTCAAAGGTGAATGTGTTACTGCTCTGGAGGTCAAGAATAAACAAATGGGGTTCAGCAGGAAATATGCCCAGCCACCTTTTGCAGGACTACCACCAAACAAATTTCTATAAACTCTAGAATGTTCCAGCACCTGCCCAGGTATTGGCAAGTGATTGTGTATTATCAGCAATACATATAAATTCCCAGTAATACATTTAAATGCTTGGCCATTCAAGCAATGCCTCTAAACTTACATCTCAGTGACTTGAGATCATGGGAATCTAGATAGGGGAAAGCAGGCTCAAGTTCAACCCCAGCAAAACTGAGTGAATTATGATTTTAGGACCACCTGGATGTAAAGAATTTCTAATTTTGATTCTGGATGGGGTTATACTGCCCTAGACAGATCTAAAGAGCAATCTGGGGTTCTCCTTAAAATATGTCTATGGAGATTCTCAGTCATCCAGGTATGGTTGTCCCAAAGATGCTTTTTTTCAGGAGGCAACTGGACTTTCTTGTGTTTCTTTTGAAGACGTTTCGCTTCTCATCCAAGAAGCTTCTTCAGCTCTGACTGGATGCTGGGGAGTGGAAGGATTTATATTGCTTGCAGACAGATGGTCATTTGCATTCCTTTAGAGACACAGAGTAGAAAACATCCTGCAGCCACCCAATCATGAAGATCATAACTCCACACATATTTGCACTTCTCAGGTGACCCTCAGGACACAGGTAAACCTCCAAAATGGTTTCAATGACTCTTTAAAGAAATTCAAATGACCATCTGTCTGCAAGCAATATAAATCCTCCCACTCCCCACCATCTAGTCAGAGCTGAAGAAGCTTCTTGGATGAGAAGTGAGACATCTTCAAAAGAAACGCAAGTCCAGTTGCCTTCTGAAAAAAAAAAGCACCTTTAGGTCCTTAAAATATGGCTCCTGCTTGAAGAACAAGCAATAGCATAGTTTTGAAAACCTTTGCACAAATTTATCTTGTATGACAGTTATGCCCATTCCTGGACCACAAGGTCTTACTCAAGTCGTGTCCATATAATATTCCATCAACTTCTGGTTATCGTATACTTCCAGCATGTGTTTTAAGGTGCTGATTGTGACCTACAAAGCCTTTTTCCAATTACTTCTGCCTGACTGATAAGATTTGATAAGGCTGGTATGCTCTAGATCCCATCATATAAGAGTCCAGAAGACATGCCTTGTTTACTGCTACACCTACTACAAGGAACAGCTTCAACCAAGACAGCCAGATGGCCACAATCCTACTTGCCTTTCCAGGAACTAGGTAGGGAGTTTTTGTGACTGAATAACAGAATAAGGGAAGGGACTTTGGAGGATACCCTATACCATTTCAGGCAAAGATTGTCTGGGCTGCTTTGGATGGATGAACTTGCCTCATGTGCAATATGTTTTATTTTTTTTAAAAAAACAACAGATGTTGTTTTTATCTGAGTTATGATCTTCATGATTGGGTGGCACTATAAAGTAATAAATGAATAAAGAGTAACAAAGATTTATAAAATACACATTATTCCTGTGCACCTGAGGAGCTTTGTCAAGAACCATAATCACAGCTGCACATATTTATATGGACACATATGTAATTGTGTACGCCAAGAACTTTATGATCTTGAGTTCTGCAGAAATAGCTCTTTCAGGAATTTGGCAAGGGTAAGAAGTACAACTCTGGAAAATCAGCAGGGATGAGAGAACAGAGAACATGGCTCCCTGGTAGCCCCAAAGAGTGTCATGCATTATTTGACTCAATGGATCAAATCACAATATTAATAGTAATAAAGCAACTTTATCACTTAAGGCCAATAGATATTTCTGAGTTTTGGAGTTGTTGTTACCTTAACAGCTTTGTTGAATCTTAAACAAAAATCTCGAAAGATCTGAAAGCATTCCTCCAGTTTCATAGTCTCTTTGTCTTCACACAAAAAGTCTATAAGGGCGTGTGCTTCTTTCATCAGATCTCGTTTCCAATGGTCGAGTTCTTTTAATTCTTTAACAGCAAACTTTAAATGAAAGTAAAATACATAGAGATTGATGAATAATTATTTCTTACATGCTATGCATGCAGTTGCTAATTTCAGAAATCCAGAGTGTTATCTGTAGCAAGAGACTGAAGACTATAGCACTGGCACATTTTCTGTGCTCACCTTGGTCTATATACAACTTTTTATCCTTCCAGTCAAACAGGTTTTGCAGGTTTTTTTTTTTTAAAGTATGGCACAAACCTTGCGATACAAGTTTATACAAAACAGTAGTAGAACGAGTGGGCACTTCATGGGTAATAATTATGCCAACAGCATTCATCATTCAGAAATGAATCAAATATATTATACCTCTCTTCACAAAATGCAGATCCCCAAAGAGCTGCTTTCTCCTTCCCTTTAGTTCAGTGAAATGATGAGAAAGGAAGGGTAAAAACCCTAAGCACTTGTGAAATAAGCAATAGATAACTCTTGCCATATAAAGAATGTTGATTATTGATCGAAAGCATTAGTATTCCATTACAGAATATATATCTATGAAAGGAGAGGAATACAGTACATGCTTATTATTTTCTGCCACATATTTCATTTTATCTACAGTGATGCAGAAGACTCAACTATGAAATCTCATCTGAAATTATAAACAGATAAAATCCACTTATGTATATCAAGAGCCTCAGCATACGTTCTTGTAATTAATATAGCCCTTTGGACCACTGAGTTTCAAACTCAAATCCAATTAACAAACAACCAGTAATAGATTTTGATCAAGGTAAGATTCTGCAATCATACATTTCAAGAAAATTAAACTGAAATCTTCCCAATTCCTTTTTTTTTCTGTTTAAAAAACATGCAACAGAAACAAAGGAGATGCCTTCAGAACTTCCATTCATTCTCTTAAAAAACTTTCTTTAAAAAAAGGGATGTCAGTGCCAGACATGTATTAAGCTTTATTTTCCTGATGACTTTGCTTACAAAATGAAAGAGAAAGCCTGAAGGTTAAAAGGCATGGAGATACATAAATGCTACTCCAAGAAAGGTAGATTATCTTAAATTCATCTATTATACGAAAAGGAAAAAAAAGCTATTTCACTCAGCAAAGAGTTATGAAGATAACCTAAAGAAGGAGTATGAAAAATTGGCTCTACCTTTCTCATTAGACAGGTTGTTTATGAGTAATAATGAGAGTAGATTTTTAAATCAGATTCATTCAGCATTTTTTAGAAAAGATTATATTAGATGCATTTTTAAAATAAAGGGAGACTGAAACCTGGAATTAGTCTAATTAAAATTAATATGGCAATTATATGTCTGTTGCTTTAAATATTTGCTTCAGTATTAGCATTTTAAAAGGTGATATTAGCACCTTTAACATAGCAGTCAAGGCCTCTTTTTAACTTCAGGAAAACATGTATTTTTCTTCTAGGTCAAGGCTATTTTTGTATGCGGAAAACTTGTCTTTTCAATTCTAAACAATAAATAGTGTATTCTGAAAGTCCTTGAATACACTTGCAAATTTTAAGAAAGATACAAAGTCGGCTAGGAAAGAATAATGTAACCCATAAATTTGCTGTGGAATGTTATCTAGAATCAACATTTTCTATTGTTCAAGTCTCACGTGTAATCAATTTCCTTTACTGTTTGATCGCTTGGTTTCTGACATATTACATATACTGAATATAAAGCATGCCTCATTTCTTTCTGTACCTTATAAAGAGACTAGATGCCCCTTGCTTTGCCTGAATCCACACTTTTGGGTGGACAAAGAAGGGGCTTTGCAAAGACAATTCAGGGATCAAGTTCTTAATCAGCTACACATCAAACTCAGGATGCCAGCAAAAGATTAACAAGGACATTAGGAAAACTTAAATATTTCTCAATACTGAATAGGTGATACAAAATCATTTGTAGTATTAACTGTTACCAATGAAGTACAGGAGTGTGTAATGACAGTTGGCAGCTGTCATTAATGTAAACTATGATAGCTAATATTCAAAGGCTAAACAATAAAAGTGTTGGTTTGGACACTTATGTATCTTTTCTGTCCTTCATATAATTGCATTTGTTGCTTACAATGTTCAGACATAGATAATAATACCTCCTAAAAGCTTTTGTCTTAATTAAGATCTCATGCATCTAGTGAATTATAGTTTAGGGACCCAATTTTATGATCATTTTTACTGCAGTGGTTAAATGAATCCAGCTTTCCCAATTGACTGCTTCTTGGCAAAGGGAAGCAGGGAAGGTTGCAAACCATTAATCTGATAAAATCAAACTTCACTCTAAATAACTTCCCATTTATCTACTCTATACTAATAAGTATTGTCAACCTTTTAAAATTTTACTTTCTCCTATTATTTAGAAATGGAATACTTTCAGAATCTTTACTTAATGTGTATATTTATTTAATGTGTTATGTGAAACTAACTTAATGTAAACACCACCCAAGACATGTGAATATAGGCCTCTTAATGGACCTGCCCAAACAGAATGTCTAAGTATGCGTGTTTCAATTAACTACAGGTGGTCTTTGAGTTACAACCGTTCATTAATGATAATTCAAATAATGACAGCCTCAGAAAAAGTTAGTTATGACCTGTTCTCAAAGTTACGACTGTTGCATAACCTCCTGTCATGGTTCCGACAGACAGAGACAAATAAAGCAGAACTCAGAGGCTTGCTCAATTCCTCAAATAATATGTTTATTAATTACAAAATATCGGCCTGGTCAAGAATGAAATCAAGTCTGGATACACAAGTAACAATTTTCCAATACAAAGTTAAATGTTCCACCCACAAAAGCTATGCAAGCAACTATGTTCCCCAATTGCTCATTTGTAGAGCTGACACCTCCATAGTCACAATTTGAGTGCTTGGCAGCTGGCTCATATTTATGATGGTTGCAACATCTTGTGGTCACATGATCATGATTATGCAACTTTCCCTGCTTCCCTTTGCCAAGAAACAAAGTCAATTGGGATAGCTGGATTCACTTAACAACTGCAGTAAAAATGGTCATAAAATTGGTTCCCTAACTATGCTATCACTAGATACATGAGATCTTAATTAAGACAAAAGCTTTAAGCAAGTATTACCTTATGTATCTGAACATTTTAAGCAACAAATGCAATTATATGAAGGACAGAAAAGACACACAAGAGTCAAACCTATCCAATGCAAAAGCTAATCAGTTTTAGCAGATATTATCCATAAATCAGAAAAACAAAGTATTCTAAAAATAAGTTGTAGACTAAAATCAGTTCTTCATTCTCCTAGAAGTAAATTCATTCTTTATCTTAGAAAGCCTCAATCTATAAGACTAATCTGAGAAGTATGACATCAATTGTAAAACTATTTGAATTTATAAAATCCAGTTGGACATCAGACTGATCACAGTATACTAATGAATATTAAAAAATGCAACATCTTACCTGAGACACATTAAGGTAGTATTATTCTAATTACTAATTTACCAAACTAATAAGACACTAATTCCTGTTTTTCAACTATTTTACCCTTTATAGAAATAATGAATAAAATACTTAACAGACTTTTAAAAACCAGGGTGTTTAAAATTGTCTATAATGGAAGAATTTTTATCAAATAAAATCTGAGATTGTAGGAAAGAATGCTTTGATCACCAGCATAAGAGCAAACCGATAGGGTCAATTGCCTTAAGCATTATACTACTTGGCTTTCATCAAATTGAAACAGTGGTGCAATTAAATGTTTGTACTGAATTTCAGACTACATCACCTGAAAGCTACTGAAAAAAGCACAAACAGAAGCTTCCATACTGAAGTGGTAATATTTGTTAAGAAAAGAAACCTTTTTAAAGCATTATTTTTTCCGCAACCAGAGGAAAGTGGGTGGGCAGGAAATACCATTGATCCACCAGTTAGCACTGCTTAAATAATAGGCACTTGACAAAACCACTTCACACACCATACCCTTTCAGGACAACAAATTATGTTGCTTTGACTGTGAAAAGCAACCCCTTAAAATACCTACAGAATTTTAGCAAGAGTACCACTGAAAAGGGTTTCTAAGAGAAACAAGGGGTTTATTATCTGTTAAGCACACTAACCGAATTTAAATTATGCAGCTCAATATATAAATGTATAATAAACAGACATATCAAGAATCTGTGACAAACCTGAAGGAATCCTTCCATCTGCCGAAAGAGTTCTGTGTCCCGGCGAATATTATCCTTTAGAGATTTTGTCTTTGATGACAGGGAATGAAGTTCAGTTTCAATACTTTCTACAGATATCCTGCAGAGAAACAGCAATCTCAATCTACCTTGAGAAAGAGTATTTCCCCACTGAAATGTGGACAACTTAAAACATGGTATTTGCTAATGGGACACATTAGTGAACAGCGTCTAAGCAAATCATCAGCCAACACTGTTGAACCATGACGTTCACAACAGAAATCAAAGTATTTGCATTAATGCAATATGAGTGTTACAATTCTGGTTCTTAAGTGGAAGGATACAATGGTGGCAAGATGTTAAATAATATGATTGCAACATTAAACGTAACTTTAATCAATGCATTCAATTAATATGTATAACCCAATAAGATTTAGTAAGTTAACTGCCATGAAAAGCCCCTTTATATATTCCTGAATTCAACTTCTAAACAGGAAAGCTGCATTCATCATTTTTTTTGCTATGAAAATGAAAACAGAGTTTATAGTAAATATTTTCTTAAATCTCAGTTTTCATGCACAAACTCTGCATACCAATTTATCTTCTCTGTGAAGAGAATAACCCAATGTTTACAATTTTCTTACTTACCTTGCTGCCTCATGAACATGGTGCAATTTTTCTGAAAAGGTTAGAAGAATTTTATCTTTCTTTTGGGCTTCCTGAAACAAACAAAAATCCCAGTAACATTTCATTTCATTCAATAGCAATCAATGTGTATTTTCCCCCAGAGCAATTAAGAGGTTTCTGCTTTAAACCTATGGACCATGTTTTTCAAAACCGCATTTAAGAAAACTGATAAGTTTCCATCTTAATTGTGGACATTTTTAGAATGACTGAGTAACAGTCTACCACTGAATACAATCAAATTGCAGTAGGAAAGGCCATTAGATAAAGGCAACATACCAGTGCCTTTTCTGAAAACTAATACAGATAGTCTTTGACTTATGATCACAATTAAGCCCAAAATTATTGTTGATAAGACATTCGTTAAGTGAATTTTGCCCCGTTTTAAGACCTTTCTTTCAACAGTTATTAAGTGAATCACTGTAGTTGTTAAGTTAGTAATACGGTTGTTAAAGTGAACCTGGCTTTGCTCATCAGAAGGTCTCAAAAGGTGATCACATGACCCTGGGACACTGCAACCATTATAAATATGACTCAGTTGCCAAGTATCTGAATTTTGATCACGTGACTATGAGGATGCTGCAATGGTTGTATGAAAAATGTCATGTCGCTTTTTTCAGTACCACTGTAACTTCAAACGGTCACTAAATGAATTGCTGTAAACTGAGGACTATCTGTACAACATTTCCTGCTTAATCTCTTTTTTGCCCTCTCTCTGGACACTTCAAATTAGCTGTTAAACCAGTGTGCAGGGAAATATTAACAAAATCACTAAAACAAATGCTAAATTTTAGATTCTCAGGAGCATTGCAAATTAAGCAAGTATTAGGAAAAACAATTTGCTCCTCAGTTTTGCAGCCCTTATCTGTCCCATAATATCCCATCCATTACCTATTCCTTCTGCTTAGATGTCTATAGACTGTTATCTCAGAAATGGCAATTTACATACCAAAGCAACAAAATGAAGCAGATTCATCCCAGGCTTGTTTGCTTTTGTATCTGCCAACTTGAGTAATGAGGATAGCTTGAAGCCAACTGCATTGCCAGCACAGCCTCCCTATGCAGAAGAGTGAAGGGGGAGGCAGAAGAGATATGGGAGGTCAATCCACAAGGCTTGAAATTCTTTGCCCTACTCGCCATCTGCAAAGAGGCTAATCCACTTACTGCATTCATAATATTCCCAGCCTGAAGGACCAAGTGCAATATGGCATGCAGCTCTTCACAGCACATCAGCTCTGGAAAAAGACACAACAAATATAATCCAATGGGCATTTGTTTAGGAGGCAAAAAAATATACTTCAATATTTTGCACATTCAATTTATCTTATTTTTCTTAGAGGAAGCTAGGCTAAAAGTAAAAGTTTAAAGGTAATTTAGGGAGAGGATATAAATCCAATTATTGGCAAAAATAAATGTAATAAAGAAGTAAACAAATTTTAGCTGGAGCTAAGGAAAACCATATCAGCTGCCTTGGTCCATCCTTTGCTAATAGGTTTTCTTTTTTTCTGAACTCTGAGACTGTATTCTATAAAATGGACCTACGCACAGCGGACAAGCAAAGCAAAACTTTTAGGCTCCATCTTTTTTGCTACAACTTATGCCATTTAATAGGGTCTTCTAATTATGAGAATTTGGGGGTGGATGGGGGGGCTTGGAATGTTCTTTGGAAAGGAAACAGGGAACTCAACTTCATTTTGATATTTTATTTGAATCTGTCTGAATTTGTGCAAATGCTCCTTTTATGTAGATGTGTGAAAATAACACCTAGAAGATTAATTTATTTCCCTAGATTAAACATTTATTTCCCTAAAACAATGTTCATCAGTCTGGCCTACAATGAATTCCAGGTAGGAAGGGATATGCAGAAGGAAAATATATATTTATGACACACCATAGTCCTTTTAGTTCAAGAGGGCTAAATCTGCTCTGAATGAAATTACGTATTATGCAGCTGGAAGACCAACATACTGGAAATTGCCAGAGGCTCATTAAGTAGAGTAACCTTAGGAACCCCTATGCATTTAGATGTTTCTGGATGGCTAATAGACAGCATTATTCCTTAGGCCAATAAATGTCTAAATAGCACAACAGATTTAAGGCAGAGTAAGTATTTTACCAATCAACAGCTGAGATAAGAGAAATGCAACATGATTAGATCTTAAGAATCAATGGGTGGTTTCATATATTTTTCTAATTCATACTGTGATTTATGTAGCACAAGATTTTGCAATCATTGTGATTTGCAAACTATGGTTTAGCTGTTTGGGAATCTAGCTTCTTTTAAGTCATTTACTATCAGCATTAGGAGGCCATGTCATAAAGGTATTCAATAAACCATGACTAAATGTACAGTAGCTAAGTATTAGTCTAAAATCAATGACTACCTATCTGCACAATGCAATGATTTTCATTCAATAAATTAAGCACCATTACTCAGTCATAATAGTATTATAACAATGAATAATGTATAAAGGAAAAATGAATGCGCATCTGTGCTGTTCCCAAGATTTAATAAAGCTAAAAAAAGTCACTGTTATGCCGTGGAAAAAGACTGAAAATCATATGATGTTAAGAAAAGCAAAATCAGAATACAAATACAGAAAAATAGAAAAAATGGAAAATGATTCTGTCAAATTCAGAATACATCAAAATTGTTATACACCAACATTCACACTTGATTGATAACATATGTACATGGCAACACACACCCTTATGGAATGTGTCAGAGCTAGCTTCCTTTTTTAAATAGCTAATAGGTACCTGAAATTCCAGATCTCATCTCTCTAGTTAGTTGATTAACCTGCTAAGAAAAACAACATCCTAATGCATGCTGCAGCATGTTTAATTACCCTTTGTAGCCATTTTTATAATTGTCATGTTTTTCTGCAGTGAAGTACACGATGGAGAAAATTCTTTTTTTAACACCATTGCTTCAATGCGCAAGGAATAGCTGAAAATAAACAAAATAAGCTTTAAAATTGTGATGCAAGAAATATTGAATTTAGTGTGAATAACAAAAACCCAACATTTCCTTACTTTGGCACCTGGATTAGCATATACATAAATGAATCTGCTTGACAAAGTTTTGATAGATCGCCACTGAAATCCTTTAACTTCTTTACCTGGAAGGGGGGGGCAATAAAGAAGATAAATCAATCAAAAGCAAGATGTTAAAGAGTACATTTAAGAGTTCACCACAGTAAAAAACATTTCAAGGTTAATATGAAGATACTATATATTCCATATCCATATCCATATAATAATATTCAGATTAGAAAAGATGTTCTGAGATACTATTATCTAAAGTCCTCTAAATTTCTCATCTATTATTAAAGGGAAAAGAAATTATACCATGACTACATTTTTTGTCAATAAGTTTCCAGGACAGAAAAAAGAGGTGATGTATCTAATTGTTGCTTTCTACCCTTTGCTGTAACATCTATTTGTTTAATATTTTTGCAAATCATGATAGCATTCCCCAATATTATCTATGACAATTAAACTAACTTCCCCAGTCTTATGTCTCCAAATAATGAAAATATTGTGTGAAAGTTCAAAACATGTCAATAAGCAACTATCCTTATAAGAAAAAACACAGCCTGATTTTTCACAGTAAATAAGTTAATTTGGCTTTTTATAATCACTGAAAAATTCGGCCTAGTAAGATCAGATATAGAGAAGTCTTCAAATTCTTCACCCAAATGCAGAATAATGTACATACACCTGGAGGTTAGCAGCATTCAATGCTATGAAATAGCATGACAGCTTGCCAACTCATTAGCACATAAATAATTAAAAAACAAGTTGTGTCTCATTTCTTTCTCTCTGTTTCTCCTTTAGGAGGGCAATTCTTGGTCTCTATTCAAATGAGATGTTTCTCATTTGAAAAGATTTCTTTCCCTTGACATAGTTTAGAGTCTAAGGGTAGATTTAACCTGAAGAGAAAACTATTTTTAAACCAAATAAAATTCCAGAATTTGCAGGTGGCTTTGCTCAATAGGTATTGCTAGCCATTTAAGGGAAGATCTGTCATATACCATAGTATTTGCCTGAAACGTATTACAAATAATGGGATTTGTAATTCAAACATTTAAAGAGTATCAGATTGAAGAAGACTATGTGGCTTAAAAGATATTTCTAAATTTAAGCACATTAACAATTACTATGCCACAGAGACAATAACAAAATCACTCCCACATATTATGTAAATGAATGAAAACATATTATGTGTAAGTATTTATGGGACTCATCTGTGTATACAGATTCTCTACATACATGGCACTGTAGAAAACAATGTGCTTGCTAAAAACAAGATTATCATTTTTGTGAAATAAAATCACAATTGTAATGACAACAGTGTTGAGAGAAAGTTTGCAAACCTTTCTATCATCCCTGTCACTGGTTAGCAGTTAGAGGTATTTTGATCCCTTCTTCTTTATAGAATTGCTTTAACTCATTAATATTTTTAGATTGTCTTACATCAATATGGCTTTTGGGTTATGCCACAAAATTTATATTTCATTTGGGTTAAGATCAGACATTTGATTCAGCCATTTCAAAAGGAGAAATATATTCTATTTCATCCACTGTGTAACAGATTTACTTGGGTGTTCAGGACTGCTGTCATATTACATGACTTACTTCATTTAAGCTTCAGCTTACTAATCTAAATCCTCCCTTTTAGAATTTGCTGTTACCTCAAAGATTGTGAGCCATTTAAGTTCCAAACAACCCAAAACACTCCCACTGCAATGCTTCATAGCTGAGGTGAGTTCTTTAGTTGGAAGCCAATGTTTAATTTCTTCCAAATATAATATTTGTCATTAGTGCCCCCAAAAAAGTTCACTTTCAACTCATCTGGAATAGAGCGTTGTTCCAAAGGCCTGTTGGTCTCTGGCAAATTTAAAATGTGTAACAGCATGTTTATAGACAATAGTGGTACCTATCATGCTCACCACTCCAGTGTTTTCCTTGTGGCCATTAATATCATATAATATACAAGTATCCTACACAGCCTAAAACTCTAGGATTATTTAGAGTATTGAACGTGGGGTGATTTTGCTGGATGACCATTTGGGAAGGTGTTCTATTCTGTCCATCTATGTATATTTTCCTGAGAGTGGATTGATGGAGGCCTTGGATTAATCTATCACACTTGTTTGATATCTCATTGATTAGAACAGTTGACTCAACGTACTGCCCTAAGAGAGCTGATTATCCTAGGCCAGCGGTCTGCAACCTTGACAACTTTAAGACTTGTGGACTTCAGCTCCCAGAATTCCTCAGCTGGCTGAGGAATTCTGGGAGCTGAAGTCCACAAGTCTTAAAGTTGTCAAGATTGCAGACCCCTGACCTAGGCCTCCCTATACTTATTTCAACAAAGACTGTGAATCTATCAGTGAAAACATGACACACTACAATGTTTGAGTATTATTTGTTTAACCTTCTCTTTAACTGTTAATTGGGCTTAGATAAAGCTCTAATCAAATTGCAGGTCACAGTCCTGATAGATTATGGATAGTTCCAAAAGGTTTACAAACTGTTTTCACCATAGCATGTGCCTTCATAGCAAGGATATTTCAAAAGGTATAAGGTGCAGGCATGAAACAAAGTATTATCAATTTTCATTAATCTCCAGCTTCTTGCACGCAAACCAGTCTCATCATGTACACTTTGTGCATCTAATGAGGATTTCTAAAGCTGTGACAATTTGGTGTGTTACAAGAAAAAAGAGAGAACTACTTCAAGATTATCATGCTGCAGTCAAGCAAAAGCTTCAAGGGCATTAATTACCTTTTGTTATTGTTTAATTGCCTGTGTTTTGTTTCATGGATTTTGTTACTTACAGCATGGTGGCCAGGGCTGTCTCTTTAATATTTTTAGCAGTTGTTATACCTTAGTTTTGTGCGTAGCTCAGAGTCCACTCATACTGTATTGAGCCTATACTTCATTGCCAATACTAAAAAATCTTTATTCAAAAAAGTATGTATCTAATACTTTTAAATATTATTTTAAAAATATTTTCAAAGCTGCAGCAACCTTGCAGCAATACTTCCTTTCCTGTTTATGTTTTGATTTTGAAGTCACATCCATATTTGCTTTATAAAACTACAGCAAAACACTGAAGTTTTTCAAATATGTTGCTTAGATCACAAAACAACTTTGCACTTCATTTTTAGCTACTGATATTGATGTAGCATCTACCGTCATATAAATATCATATATTATTGAAATAGCATTGAAATCATCCACAGTTGTAATCATATTACACATATAATATGTAAGTTAAATCTTTGGAATATAACAGATTCATTATTAAAGATATAAAAATACATTCAAGGTAGAATTTAATGATTTTCAAACAGACATTTTTCTGTATACTTTCTGAATTCAGGAAAGTGTAATCCTACTCTTTTCTAGTTTTTATTTTGTATGTTGTTTAGCATAGAAAGTATGACTGAAACATTAAATTGATCAGCCAGGAAAGTAGATAGTAGCCTAAAGGGAGGGGTGAATCAGCCCATAGGACCTTACTTAAATAATATAAAATTATGTCACTTTCAGAGAATTTCTATGTTATTATGTTATTCAGTACAATACAATCTAACTTTTTGTTTCATTAATACCCTGTATTACAGGACTAATATTCTTTACTATTGACTGAAGAATAACTGTGGGAGTTCAGCGTGTTCAGCTGATATGGTTGAATTCACATATTGGGCAAAACAAGGTTTGTTTTCACTATGATTTGCTGAGTAAATCCAATGACAGATTCAAACATTATAATAACTATAATTAAGAAGTATATTTATTGCAAATGTGATTTAGTGTAATGTTTGAAATGAGAAAGATGACTTGTTTGAGATTTTCTGGCTCAGTCTAGTTTGATTTTGCATCCAAACAAACTTCTAATCATCTAATAATGCAAGACAGCTATACAAAAGAGTGGGAAGAAATCAGGAATTGGTCAGACAAGCCAGAACAATGTTCCTCATCTGCAAACCCGATTCTAGCTTATTTAGCAATCTTGTCGAAATAGTGCGTGTCACTTAGCATCATAGCAAATACAAGCCATTGTATTTGACTTCTAAACATTCCCAGGTTTCTTGTATGCTAATTTCAGTACTTCTTAAAACCACTGGGAGATGAAGAGCCATTGAGTGCCCAATTCTCAACTTCATAGATCACTAATGAAAGAGACTTTGTTACTTGAGCAGATGCTGTACAGAACAGCTACTTGAAACAAGAGAATCAAACTTTCTACTTAAACATAGGAAATATTTCAAGGATTTAAGCTGTAAACCAGGCAATACACTGACTTATTCTAAATGAGAAAAATCTGTATCAATGTAAACTAAATATTGTGCATAAACAAGAGTTCACAAATGTAATCACCATGGAAACTGCCTGGCCACTTTTTAGTAACCCTTCCTATCCTAACTCTTCCTTTCTGTGCTTTAAAGGGCAGTCAAGACCTTGCCACCACCCTGAGCCTGAAATGGGAAGAGGGAAAATTTTTAATATCTGACTTTATGCTATATTTTAAAAGACATTCCTGTTTCCTGTAGAGTACTAGATCAAAACTTGTCTTTTAAGAAGAAGCATTTATTGTATCTTATGAGTAAACTCTGGCAAAATCTGAAACTGTTGGTTTAGATTTATGGCAAGGAGCGAGGTGCTATACACAAAACTTGCTTTCTTCCAAAGTGTGACAGTGAGTGAAAAAACCATACAGTTAAATGTTAACATAAGATTTCCCCCCCCTCCTTTAGATTCTGAGAGATTTAAAAATTGCCTTATGCTATATGGAGTCTCAATAGCAGCCTTAGATTCATTATTAACATGCCAGTTTTTACTTTACTCAATTTTTAACTAAAAAAAATATGTTTGTATCAATGCAAAGTGTTGTTGAAGGAAGATTTTTATGTGAATACTTTCATATTTCTAATGTGTCTGCAATGATGTGTTCAAGTTCAAGCATGTTAATTTTTAAGAAAAACATTCATGACACCATATATATTTACTTGCAGACTTGCTAAATTGAAGTTTTCTCTCATCCTTGTTCTTTGCACATTGGCTTTCTCCTTTCTATATTAGTCTCATTTGATGGTAAAAGAGTTTTTTTCTGTTTCTATTATATCTCAAATTAAATATGGACATTTCAACTTTTCTTTATTAAAAAGTAAGGAGAGAGAGTTCTAATGAAACTACCATTGGGAAACTGAGAATCTTCATTGCCAAGATACCATGGGGAAACGTATATCTCTTCATTCCTCAAAGCAAGCTTTCTTAGCAATATTTCCAGTTCTAGCCCTTCCTCCTCACCTCATTTACAAGAAAGGCTATTATACTGCTTTTTCATTTTTCTAAATCTCAAACATTCCATTCATTTCTGTTTTGTAGCTACTGTTCATGGCCTTGAAGATTGCTGGTTGTCCCTTACTATGGTTTATACAATATTTATAACCCTGCTACATTTTTTTTAAAAAAGGTCATTTCTTGACAAGTCTATGAAACTTTTTAAACTTTTTTTCTTCTGCTCAGAACAGAATGCTCTTCCCATTCTATATCTGAAACTCCTATACCTTAAGTCAGGCATGTCAAACTCGCGACGTCATGTGACATCGTGCAATGTATCTGACCGGTTTTGCCATTGCCAGCAATGGGGTGGGCGCGGCTTCCACATGACGTGTCCGGCCCATGGGCCAACAGTTTGACACCCCTGCCTTAACTAGACTTTCTTGGCCTAAAATGGTCCTGACGGTATCTTGTTCTTCTCAGATGGAGTCTTTTGCTTGCATTTTATTTTATCACTCACATAGCCAGTCTTCTAAGTAGGACTACTTAATGTGTACGTCAACACATAATGTCTTTTCAAACTAAATGTGAAACTAGCTAGACAAGACAAATATATCACGGCTAGAATATTTTCTTTTTAGTGCTATACTATAATTTTAAGAGTTTAAGTTTTTCTTCTTTTTCCAGAAAAAGAACTGTGGGTTTATTTTGGTATTTATTTCATGCTATTTGGGTGCTACCTAATTCCAAACCAACTGTAGGCAACTCATAGTATAATAAACAATAAAAACAAAAACACATTCAGTAAAGATGTTTGGAGAACTGGGTCTTTCTAACGGTATATGAACTGGGTGGAAGCCACATAGATGGCAGGGAGATGTTTTGTGGATCCTGACTCTTTAATTAGAGTCTGGAGCACATCAACTCTGCCAGCATGTACCTGGAGATGGGTGGTACCAAAAATAACCTAATCAAATGCCATGTAGAGCTTTATAGCAAATTGCATCGGCAATCAGTGCAACTTATGAAACAGAGGTATCACATGGACATACTGAGACATGCCTATCTATCCTTGCCTATGCTGCTGTCTTCTGATCCAATTGAAGTTTCCAAGTAGTTTTCAAAAGCAAGCAATCCTATTCTTACCTCCTCAGTTTCTGGCAATAATTTAAGAAGCTCACGTAGGGTCTCAGAGCTATAGAGGTCTCTTCCAGTGTGAAGATCTTCAATTATAGAGTCAAGTGATCTTAAAGAGACAACAGAATGAAAATACATTTTAGTTTAGGAACATAGGATTCCTTTATTTTTCTTTATCAACCTCATACATAGGGTTTCAATTTTTCAGTTTTTAGAATTCTCAGCCAGTATATCTAATGCTGGTTAGGAACTTTGGGAAGAAACCCAGCACATCTGGATGCACTGTTGAGGAAGGAAGAATCTTTTTTAAAAAATATCATTTGCTGTTCCAAAACAATTTTCAGTAGCAAAACATAGTTAAATGTACAGCTGCCTATGAGCAAGTTCATCTGAAATAAACACAACTGTTCTTAAAAAATACATTAATATCAAGACATTGTCCTTACTTTCATGACACTTTCATATTGTCAAAAATACAATCTTTAAGAAAAATAAGATATAATTTAAAAAGCAGTTTACTTCAACTAAAATTATCTCTAATATTATAATATTACATATTGCCTAAAATTTCAGAACTATTGCTTAAAAGTAAAATGTAAGGCTAACCCAAGTATAAGGTAAGGTTGTTAAAATTAAGTTTGTAATTATGCCATTTGTAGCTGAATATATCTCTTTTCTTGATGTTATATTATCATCAATCTAATAATTACAATAGCAGGAGAATAACTTACTTTTTAAACTGTTTCAGAAAAATCCCAATATTCATACTTCTTTTGGCATCCAAAATATTAATCTACAAAAAGCAACAAAAAATATCATTCCAGACAGAGCAAAATAATCACAATGGTTATTTGAAGTCATTATTTCTGGTAGAATAAAATTATTCTGCATAGCAAAAACAAGGCTAATTCTAAACATCACAAGAAAAGGTAAACATATTCCAAATAATAATACAGTTCTGCTGAGAAAGAAATATGGACAAAATTGTTCCTGTCAAGTCTCAGATCACTATAATGAAAACAATTCTGAAACTTCAGTTGGTGAAAATAGGCTGCTATCTGGTGCAAGGATATACAATAATATTGTGCCAATATATCATTATTTGCCCTGGCTGTATAATGAGAAAAATAGGTGGATACTAGGAGTCATTTCAGTTGTTGTCTCATTATGACACCCCACCCCCACCCCATGAGCCTCACCTACTTCCTACATTGTTATTTTTAATTAGAAGTCCTCCTGTCTAGAACTGCAATCCCTCCAGAGAAATATATTGTAGGCTATATAATAAGTGTGGCTGAAGAAAGGATGGCTAGAGTAAATGTCACATGTAAATGGGAGAGCTACCATTCTTTGATATATCTTTCACCTTCTATTTTCAACCTATTCTCCCCCCTCCCCTCAGTCTTTCTTTGGGAAAGGCTTTAATGTTGGGAAAGGTGAAGAAAACAAGAGCATGATGGGTACATTGTTAGAAGATCTAAAAGACCAGGTTAGGGACAGATCATAGTTTCAGCAATAGCACTTAGACTTATATACCGCTTCATAGTGCTTTACAACACTCTTTAAGTGGTTTACAGAGTCAGCATATTGCCCCCAACCAACTGGGTCCTCATTTTACTGACCTTGGAAGGATGGAAGGTTGAGTCAACCTTGAGCCAGTCAGGGTCAAACTCCTGGACATGGGCAGAGTCAGCCTGCAATACTGCATTTTAACCACTGTGCCACCATGGCTCACGGAGAAAAACTATCTTTGTGGTTCCTAAGAATCAATTACAACTTGATGGTACATAATCAATCAACCAGTCAATCTTCTGTTCTGCTTCCAACCCATTACTTTTTTCTAGATAGCAAGATGAAGAGGCAACGGAGATACTGAACTTCGATCCAGAGATCTGAATAATTATGACTGAAAGATAGCTGTTATTATTACGAAAGCTACAGGCAGTCCAAGTGCCACAGAAGCTGCCTAGCAGGCTTAACTTAATATAAAACATTCTGCAAAGTAACTGTGTGCTCTGTAACTTTTGTGAATAAAATAGAATAGTACTTTTATCCAAGAAAATGCCAAATTCATTTCTCCTTTTTTTTTATTCCTCTTCCTCTACCCAATTGACAAGATGAAAACAATAAGGCATGTAGCTATTGATTTATTCTCCAATAAATAAGACACCAATAAACTTTAAGCAGACCTGTCTTGAAATACCATAATACAGGCCTTTTCAACCAGGGGTACGGGTACCACTTGCGGTACATTGGCACCTGGCAGGTGGTACGTGACCATCCTAGAAAAGTGGTAGCAGGGGAGGAGAATGAGCTGAACTGGTGGCATCACCGCACAAGCCTGAGTGAGAGATGGCTGGAGCTGCAGGGCTGTCAGGGCTCAGTGGAAGCACCAGGATCAGCGCCAGGCTCCAGCTGGAGCTCGGGGCTGATCCTAGTGCTTCTGCTGAGCCCAGAAGAAGCGCCGATCACCTGGAATGTTGCAGCATCTCCAGGGCCTTGTGATTTACATTCAGATGCTTGGCAACTGATTCATATTTATGACGGTCACAGTGTCCCAGGGTCATGTGAAGTGACCAAAACCTGCTACAACCACCCAGCAGATGGGGGAAATAAAAACCAAACACACCCCACCCCACTCCCGCTGCCAATCCTCAACAGAAATGCTCACAACAATGAAAACCTCAGACAGGAAGAGCGCAGCTGGGCGGGCAGGCGTCTTGCTCGGCTGTGGTTTGGAGGGCACTTTTTTCAGTGCCCTTGTAACTTCGAACAGTTACTAAGCGAACTGTTGTAAGTCGAGGACTGTACTTCATCACTTTTTTCCTTTTTTTTTTTTTGGTCATCAAGTTTTTGACACCTTGCTAGGCGACTAGTGGTACTCAGATATTGCCATATCCTAAAAGTGGTACAATGGGTGAAAAGGTTGAAAAGCCCTGCTATAATACACATAATAAAAGCTCTCTTTAAACCCCATTATATCTCCCTAATGATGATTAACATCAATCTATCAAGAATAAACAAATGCATAAATGGATGGAATAATAATTCTTCAATAGTTTTATGTGACCAAAGAAGACCTTCCTAAGGAAAGATCACCAGGCACTTAGAAAAAAGTTTTTCAGTATTGGGAAAGTCTTATTTGTTTTTCCATTGACTTTTTACAGTTATACTAATAAACAGTTCATTTTACTTAATACATATAATAGCAATAGCACTTAGACTTATATACTTCACAGTATTTTACAGCACTCTCTAAGCAGCTTACAGAGTCAGAATATTGCCCCCAACAATCTGGGTCCTCATTTTATTGACCTCGGAAGGATGGAAGGCTGAATCAACCTTGAGCCAATGAGAATCAAACTGCCAAACTGCTGGCAGCCGGCAGAAGTAGCCCGCAGAACTGCCTTCTAACCACTGTGCCACCAAAGCTCATAAACTCACATTATATGTTATGAAAGATAAAAATTGCTGAAATGAAAGTAGCTGTACTGAAGGTAGTTATAGGACAGGGGTCCCCAACACCCACGTCACAGCCCACAACCAGGCTGTGGCCTGTACGAAAAGGGCCACAGGAAGAATGGGCAAGCGCACGTGTGAAGCTCCACTCGTGCAAGTGGCGGGCAAGTGTGCGCACATGCAAACCTCCACTTACACAAGTGGCAGGAGCTTGCATTCACTTAAAGCTTCTTTTGAATGAATGGAACTTTAGATGTGAGTGCCCTCCGCTCATATGAGTAGAGCTTCACGCATAATAAGGTGACCAACCGTCCTCTTTTAGGGAGGACAGTCCTCCTTTTTAAAGTTCTGTCCTCCCTCAAAAAGTGTCCTCCTACATGTCTTCCTTTTCGATATTTGAAGACTAATCTGCAGGGTTTTTTTTCCCTCATAGAACGCTCAGAATGGCGTTCCGGCACCTTTTTTTGATGTTTTTTTTTTTCAACTTTTGCTTTCGAAAGCCAATAGGAATTGCTGCTGAGTGCGCCAAAACACCTGGCCGGCAAACTCTGCACATGTAAGTTGTCTGCAGCAAAGGCGAATTGGCAGGAACTTTGCACCCCTCCTTGCTACCCAACTACACCATCTTCTAGTTAGTCCCAAAGATACCTGGAGGAGACTGGAGCAGCGATGCCACGGTAACTTTCTCTTGATCTTTGGCCCTGCTAGGGCAATAATGGCTGCAAGAGGCAGGGGCAATAAAGGTGCAAGAGGCAGGGGCAGCGGGGCTGCTGCAGGTGGGGGTGTGTGAGGGGCGGCAGTGGCCAGCTCCCCCCCCGCTGTGGGAGCCGCAGGGCCTGCTCTACACGGGGCTGTGCAGGGTGGGCGGTGGTGCTGGCGGGGCAGCTGCAGGTGGGGTGTGTCAATGGCAGGCTGCCCCCCGGGGCTGGAGCTGACGCAGCTGGTGCTTTGGGAGCCACGGGGCCCACTCTACACGGCGGGGCAGCAGTGCTGGCGGGGCGGCTGCGGGCGGGGGCGCAGCAGGTAAGCATAATAACAATATAAAATGTTATTGTACAAATGTTTTTTATTATGCATTTATCATATTATAGTGTATTCTGTATTATTGTTGCAATGAATAAAATGTTTCTTTTATTTACAATATTTTTTCTTCAATTTATTTGTGTCCTCCTTTTCATTGTAAAAAAGTTGGTCACCTTACGCAGAAGCACCCTCCACTTGTGAGAGAAAAGCTTCGTGAGAGCGGAGCTTCGCATGCGAGCGCAGGTACCCTCTGCTCACATGCAAAGTTCCATTTGTGTGAGTAGCGGGTGCCCATGCCTGCACAAATGGAGCTGTCACGCGTGTGTGGGCCTGCCACTCACATGCCTTCCTCTTCCCCATGCCAGGCCACCAAGCTGGAAAGGTTGGGGACCGCTGTTCTAGGACATATTCCCTAAGACTTTATACAAGCAATCAGACTGATATGCTGGTTCTCTGTGCCATATTAACTATGCCTTGTATTTTTCACAAGCATTATTTGAAAACATTGAGTCAAGAGCCGATTTAATTCTATAAAGTGCAATTAAATCTTATAATGTTTTGCAGTAGTTAAATAAACAAGACTTATGCTTCTCCCACAGATTATTTAAAATCTGTTTTTTCTAGAGAATTATCAAGTCACAATCCAGCCAACTAAGTCATAAGAGTACTTATACATTGGCCAACCTAATGTTTTGGCAAAAATATAGCTGAATCCTGATGCTGATTTGTACTTCATCAGAGCATTATTCATGGTGTCTATTGTTCTCATGTTTGCTTAATTCTTTAGCATCTCAGCAATTGACAGAACGAGCCTGACCTGTGCTTAGAGTGAAACAGAGCTGGACCTTGTTAACACTTGATGAGACCTTCAGAGAACTCCAAAGCAATAATTAGAAATTAAAAAACATTCCAGGAATGGCAGTGCCAACCTCTTCTATACCATTACTTAAAGCACATTGAGAGCAAGCACAGCTAAATTCATCCAGTCACCAGGAGTTGAATCTATCCTAACAGCATCTTTAGTTTTACTGTCCACTAAGATGGCAGCATGTAGCTATCCCTGACTGGTCTCAAAAAACTAAACTCTGGTTAATACTTGAATGGGAGATTACCAGGAAATAGCAAGATAATAGTCTGGAAGCCAAACCACATCCCAAAAGATAAACCACTTTTGTATTGTTGCCAAAACAAACAAAACAGAACTCCACTACCTGGACATAACCATGAAGTTACCAGAAAATAAGCCACGTTTTCAAACTTTAACATGGCTTTAGTACTGATACATTCAAATGCAATAAAGTAGCCAAAAAC